CTGCTGTTCTGAACAGTTGTGTATCGTTTTGATAAGTACTAAAAATTTTTTTGATTGTCTATTGCTAAGAATTGTTCAAAATAATGTAAAATAGATGAAATAAGAAAAAAAAAAAAACAAAAAAATTTCATAAGTTCAAAAAATTTAAAAATTTATTTTATTTATTTTTACTTTCTTTTTACTATATAATTTGTTATCAAAACATAATTTGTTGCATTGTTGATTGCATATTTTTTTCCACTTTGATATTACATCAGTACAAAAAAAAAAAAAGTTGGTTTTTGTTTTTTCTTTTTGTACTGAACTATTGGATCTCTGTAATCAATTTTGAGTTTTCTAATCATTTTTTACAGAGATAACTGTAAATGTTTAGATAAAATAAATATGGCAATTTTTTTTATCTGTTGAAATTTTTTGGTTAGAAAAAGCTGTTACCACAGGTATTTTGTTGTCGAATTCTTCGCTGTTTAATTGTTGTCATTGTTTTTACATTTGTCTACTGAAAACATTTATTTATGATATTGGAAAATGATATTGACAAAACAGTAATGGTCAATGATAAAAATACAGAACAAAGGTTGTTGAAATGTGATAACTAAATTTTGAATTGCTAAAAATCTATAAGAATTTTCAAAATAAAAAAAAAATTTTTTTTTTTACCACATTTATTCCTCTGTATTCAAAACTTCAAGTTCATGTGATTATTGTTGCCCTGAACTAGTTGTAGAGCTTTAATGATGACTGAAAACAAAAAGTTTAAAGGTAACGAAAAAGTCAATTTTTATGTATCAAAGAAAACAAAGTGAACAGAAAAAATTAGAGCAATAAAAATTTTTACTATAATTTCCATTTTCTTTTCTTTTTCTGTTACTTTTTATGCTGTTTAGGTTTTCCATTTTTCCTGTTCAAATAACAACAGTTTTTAAACTAAATCAGCTTTTTTTTTTCCTCCGGTTATTCTTTCCATTTTTCAATAATTGATTTTCTTTTTTTGTTTGCAGTCTCATTCCTTTTCCAAACTTCACTTTTCAAATTACATTAAGCAGTAACTTTTAGAACAACAACAAAATTAAAAAAAAAACCTGTGATTGTTGAAAAATAATAGAAAAAATTCATTTCTGT